GTTTTCCTGACATATTAGGCTTTATTAAGAACAACTTCTTTTTTCCTCATAAAGAGCGTATAATCAATAGAAACTCACCATGACTCCTTATTTCCTCTTTGAATTCATATTCTGGACCCTCCTTGAGCATTGAACTTCTGTCTTAACGGCTCATTGACTGAAGCCAGGAGTAGGTCAGTTGGTCCCAAGATCACCCTGTAGATTGTTAACCTCTTGCACCTCTTTATCTTTATGTCTGTATTTCACATGAGGGGATATCATAGTGTGAAGTGACTGTCATCTTTGAGCTAATAGCTGTACTGCTGTTTTGGTTTTGAAGTGAAGCATGATGGAATATTCTCGAAGATACAAGTCAGGTTGTCAGCAGTGCTCTCTGTCCTGGGTGGGCACACAATTTCCTTTCCCCAGCGTGCATCTGCCTTGTCCCTCACTCAGGTCATTGCCAATGCCTCCGCCTCCCCCTTCCAACTCTGAGCCAAACTTAACAATCAGTAGAGAGTTATTTATTTAGCCCCTCCATGGAGAAAGAATTATGCCTCTGGCTTTGGGGATGCAAGAGACATAAATGACCCAATCCTTGATATCAAGGAGTTTAGTTTCTAGGGAAGTTAAGTCACAAAAACTGAAGAAATAGCTAATGAAGCATGGTCTCTAGAAGAGACCGCCCTTCCTCAGATCCGATCACTTCATTGTCCAGTGCCCCTGTGAAGCAGTTAATGAAACCTGAGACTGAGCAGTAACACATGCTACTAAAACATTAACAAGATCAGCCCCCAAGCTGGCTTTGAGCTTGTCTTCCAATTTGTAATAAGTTCCTTAGGAGTTGTTGCGGTGCGCAGGCTTCTCATTGCAGTGGCTTCTCTTGTTGCGGAGCACGGGCTCTAGGTGCACGGGCTTAAGTAGTTGTGGCGTGCAGGCTCAGTAGTTGTGTCTCGTGGGCTCTAGAGCACAGGCTCAGTAGTTGTGGCGCATGAGCTTAGTTGCTCCGCGGCGTGTGGGATCTTACAGGACCAGGGCTCAAACCCGTGTCCCCTGCACTGGCAGGCAGAGTCTTAACTGCTGCGCCACCAGGGAAGTCCTCCTTGTGCTAGTCTTGTTAGCCAACAGTTATAAATCAGTGTGAATATCTCAAAGGCGTAACCTTTTTTAAAACACTTAGGGAGCAATAATCACACCTCTTGTTACTCAGGTCAAAAATATTGATAATTGCATACATCATTGCAGCCATGGTATAATCAGTTATCCTGTGGTAGCAGAGAATGACGCTCACCCAGACCTGCTCTGCAGTGGTAGCAAGCTATTTCCCTCCTTTTAAACTTTATTCTATACCTAGATGAAGATAGACTTATCATTTATTACCATTCAAGATTGCACCGATGGTCTACATTTTAAAAAATATGATACTTGTACTATTTAATGAAATTGAAGAGATCTAGAATAATTTCTTGGAGTGGTACAAGCGGGGCCATGGCATTCAGTCATGTAGCTTATGTACTGTTCAACCCTAGGGGTTGCCATTTACATCAGAGTCTACAACCACAAAACATGAACCTGGGGTAATCGTTAATGAGTGGTTATCTAGTGTCAAGGTCTAGATTTTACTGTTTAAGTGCTAGCAAATAGTTTTCTTTGTAATGGAATGCTATCTCACAAGCCATCCGTAGCACCTTGAAATTTTGCTAAGAACCAGTGGCTGTTCATCTTTGTTGATGACGTAGATAACATTGAAGCAGCCCAACTTGCACCCGAAGATGAAGAAAAGTTCCAGCTGAAAAAGATAAAGATGACTTTTATATATAATGAGTAAGGGTTTCAAAATCTATAGAGTCCCCTCTTTGATCAGTGATCCCAGAGACGTCATGACCCAGCAGGATGTTCTCCAGTCTATGCAGAAGGCTGTAGGATTGGCACTATTTTAAATACCATAACACTTCTTCTCCTATTAGGAAATATATATTCAGCCTTGAGGAAACGTATTCCAGGCTTGGAATATGGACAGTGGAAAGCAGTCTTTTCAGTGGCGCCAGACCTGTAGTAAGTTCTTCCTGAGCCATATTCTCTTTTCAGGATGGTTACTGGAATCACCCTTCGTTGTGCCCTTTCCTGCCGTCATCTGGGAGCTGAGTACAAGCTCTCTTCAGTGGAAAAGCATGGTTTATTTTGATCAGAGGCCCAAGTCACAGCACATATTAACCAGTCACCCAGTGCCATGACTAATTTAACTTTGACCATATCTTATACACCACTTAGGCCCTACCCTAGAAGTTGGCAAAGCTCAAGAATGAGTTTGCAGAAATTTTGAAAATTCTATAATAGCATTTTGAGTTTGTTGATTTATTTCACCTGACGAACTCAAAACAGTTTACTTCCAAGGAGATCAATTCCCAGGAGGCCAGCATTGTGGCCTGGTAGAAAGAGTAGGAGTCCCACCAAACAGCCAGATGACCTTGAACCATCCCCTAGAACACGTTGGGCCTCTTTCTACATCCGTAGAATAAGGGTCTCAGCTAGGTGAATTCTGAATTCCTTTCCAGAAACAGACTGCTCTGATACTCTTTCCAGAACTAAAATTAGATACTTGTGTAGTAAATCTTCTAAGTCAGCTCTGTGAATTCCAGGTAGAGTCAAACCTAAGGCATTTGTATAGGAGAGTTTTTTTGTAGAGGTTCATTAAATATAGCTTTAAAAAAAAGGGGGGAATGCTTTTGGAGGGGAGCTGAGTTAAAAATTAAAAATAGATTAATTTTTAAACTTTATATGAAAATTTCTTTTTTTTTTTTTTTTTTGTTTCTTTGCGGTACGCGGGCCTCTCACCGTTGTGGCCTCTCCCGTTGCGGAGCACAGGCTCCGGACGCGCAGGCTCAGCGGCCATGGCTCACGGGCCCAGCCGCTCTGCGGCATGTGGGATCCTCCCGGACGGGGGCACGAACCCGCGTCCCCTGCATCGGCAGGCGGACTCTCAACCACTGCGCCACCAGGGAAGCCCTATATATGAAACTTTTTATGACACATATATTAGTGTATAATTCAGTGAATTTCAGAAACTGAACACAGCATGTAACCAGCACACAGAATATTACCTGAACCTCAGAAGCCGCACTGAGCCCACTTCTAATTGTTATATCCTCTGCCCCCTTGCAAGGATAACCATGCTCCCACCCTCATTCCATCGATTAGTTTTGCCTGCTTTTGTTCCTCATCTGAATGGGATCATGGACAACATGCATTCCTTTATGTCTGGCTCCTTTATCTAACATTGTATTTCAGAGAGTCATCATTATTATTGTGTGTAGCTGTAGTAGACACTTAAATTTTCCTCCAGAGAGACATTGCTTTATCTTTGCACAACGACGTTATCATTCAAGTGACTCATTCGGGAGGGTCAGTAATATGCCATTATGAACAGAGAGAGGATGAAAGTGCTGGAGAGAAACCAGGGGCACTTTATAATTTATTAACATAGTGTGTTATTAATATATAATACAATTTACGGTATTGATTTTAAAAATAGAAGTCCTCTTTGGAAGGAGAAGGATTCACTTCCTGCTCTAAGACGTTATCATGCCTTGTCCAAGGAAAGAATCATTCCTCTGGTACCGGCAATGGCTGTTAAATTATAAGATTCTTAAAGATTGCCAGCTTTTCCTGGAGACTGAGAAATCGTGATTTATTCCCACCTTTCTGTGTCCTTATCCCTGCAATCCCTGCACTATCTTACCCTGCACATATGAGGTACAAAATAGCCATTTGTTGACTGACTGAAGCGTCTAAAGCTAGCATTTATAGTGCCTTCACAGTGCCAGCCCCTGTGCCCAGATCTCTTGTTTACTCACCACAGCGACACTATCAGGCTGGTGCTATTATCACAGTTCGCTAGATGGGGAATCTTGGCCATTGGAAATAACTTATCCAGGGTCACTCAGACATTGTGTGACAGAGCCAGAACCTTTGATCCCATGCTCTTTAGCCTTCACCGCGGTGCCTGCACACTCTATCTCAGGCCAACAGAAGCTGCGGTGGTGGCTAGGTGCTTGGGTGCCCTGTGGCCAGGAGCTCTGCCAGCTGAGAACACGTGGCCTGGTTTGTCCCGGCCCCTTCCCCTGTGGCCATGTAGAAGGAGCCTGCTCCGTGGGCTCTCACTGCCCGAGCCTCGTGGGTGGCGTGTGATTTCCTGGCTGGCTTCTTCCTCCCTCAGTATCCCCCGTCAGCGCCTGCTGCTGGTGCTGACTGCCTGTCATGGGGTTCCGTTGGCCAACTCCTCCATCAGGAGAGGAACGGACGCAGCCTTAGCATCTGCAGTTTTCTCCACGTGCCGAGCTCCTCTCAGCCTCTGCCCCACCTCCCCCATGTGTATTTCATCTAGTTGCCGCCTAGTTAACCCACACATCTCATCTGGTATATATTGGCCCTCGATGATTATTCATTGGAAGGAAATGAATAAACGAATGGTAAATGAGACTTTAAAATTCAGTATTGATATAAACTTCACTTTTTAAAAAATGTTGACTCTGCCCTCCCCACTACTAAAAATGTAAGCGATGATAATGAATTAACATATAATAAAGAGGAAATGCAACACACCCATCCTTTTACGGTATGACATAAATGGGATAGATCATTTATAAGATTCTGTGACCGCTTCTGATTCTTAGCATAGTTTTTAACCAGCCTTTATATAGTGGTAATCATTATATATGCAGCATTTTGTGTTTTTAAATTCTTTTCTTGATATTTTGCATGTGTTGATGTTTTCCATAAATCTACGTGGACTACCTTGCTTATCATTTTTATTATAATATCCCATTGGGTGGGCCTTCCGTAATAAACATGGGTTTTGCTTTTTGTAGCCAGTGCCCACCTGGCAATGCCAATTCTCTGGACTAGAGTAATTTAAAGGAACCAGGTTGCAGGTTGTCTTGCTTGAGGAACTGGCCTTTTGGGCATTGTTGTGTCGTGATTATGGCAAGCTGTGATGATGTGTCCCCCTATTTTATTCCAGGATGCTTTTCTCTGGCAGGCAGTGTGACCATGTTGGCAGACCTGAAGAACTTTTACTGACGTTAAAGATATTCCTTGTCATCATTTGTCTTCATGTCACTGTGGTTACATCCCTGGAAGGTAAGGTGCCCATTTTCCTTCATCTTTTTCCTATTTTATCTCTGTGTGTGTGTGTGTGTGTGTGTGTGTGTGTGTGTGTGTGTGTGTGTGTGTGTGTGTTTATTTGGGATTGTTTTACTGTGGTAAAAAAACACACAACATAAAACTTACCATTTTCACCATTTTTAAGTATATAATTCACTGGCATTAAATGTATTCACAATTTTGTGCAACCATCACCACTAGCCAGTTCCAGAACATTTTCATCATCTCAAACAGGAACTCTGTACCCATTAAGCAATAACCTCCCTTCCCCCCTCCCCCCAGGCCCTGGTAACCTCTGTTATTTCTGTCTCTATGATTTTGCCTATTCTAGGTACCTCATGTAAGTATAAGGAATCATACAATATTCATCCTTTTGTGTCTGGCTTATTTCCCTTAGCATGTTTCCAAGGTTCATCCATGTTGTAACATGATCCAGAATATCATTCCTTTTTAAGGCTGAATAATGCTCCATTGTATGTACATATTTTGTTTATCTATTCAGTGTTGATGGACATTTGGGTTATTTCCCCCTTTTGGCTATTATAAATAATGCTAGTGTGAACACTGGTATTTAAGTATCCGTTTGAGTCCCTTCTTTCAATTCTTTGGGGTATATATACCTAGGAGTAGAATTGCTGGGTCATATGGTAATTCTATGTTTAACTTTTTGAGGATCTGCCAAACTGTTTCCCACAGAGGCTGCACCATTTAACATTCTCACCAGCAAGGCACAGGATTCCAGTTTTTCTATATCCTCACCAACACTTGTTATTTTCTCTTGTTTTGATAATGGATGTGAAATGGTATCATTGTGTTTTTTATTTGCATTTCCTTAATGATTAGTGATTTTGAACATGTTCTCATGTGCTTATTAGTCATTTGTGTATCTTCTTTAGAGAAATGACTATTCGAATCTTTGGTCCATTTTTGAATTGGGTTGTTTGGGGTTTTCTGTTGTCATTGAGTTTTAGGAGTTCATTATATATTCAGGATACTAATCCTTTATTATATATATGATTTGCAAATATTTTCCCCCTTCTGTGAGTTGTCTTTTCACTCTTTTTTTTTTTTGGCTGCGTTGGGTCTTCGTTGCTGTGCACGGGCTTTCTTTAGTTGTGGCAAGCGGGGGCTACTCTTCATTGCGGTGTGCGGGCTACTCTTCATTGCGGTGTGCGGGCTTCTCATTGTGGTGGCTCCTCTTGTTGTGGAGCACGGGCCCTAGAGCACGCGGGCTTCAGTAGTTGTGGCACACAGGCTCAGTAGTTGTGGCACACAGGCTTAGTTGCTCTGCAGGATGTGGGATCTTCCTGGACCAGGGATCAAACCCATGTCCCCTGCATTGGCAGGCAGATTCTTAACCACTGCGCCACCAGGGAAGTCCCTTTTCACTCTTTTAATAGTGTTCTTTGATGCACAAAAGTTTTTAATTTTGATGAAGTCCAATTCGTCTATTTTTACTTTATTGCCTGTGCTTTTGCTGTCGTACCAAGAAATGTCATGAAGATTTTCCCCTATTTTTCTTCGAAGAACTTTATAGTTTTAGCTTTTATGTTTAGGTCCTTTGATCCATTTTGAGTTCATTTTGTATATGTTGTAAGGTAAGAATCCAACTTCATTATTTTGCATGTGGATATCCAGTTTTCCCAGTACCGTTTGTTGAAAACACTGTCTTTTCCCCACTGAGTGGTCTTGGCACCTTGGTCAAAAATTAATTGACCATATATGTGAGGGTATATTTCTGGTGTTTATTTGTTTTTTTGTTTTGTTTTGTTTTTTTTTTTTGCAGTTCACAGGCCTGTCACTGTTGCGGCCTCTCCCGTTGCGGAGCACAGGCTCCGGACGCACAGGCTCAGCGGCCATGGCTCACGGGCCCAGCCGCTCCGCGGCATGTGGGATCTTCCTGGACCGGGGCACAAACCCGTGTCCCCTGCATCGGCAGGCGGACTCTCAACCACTGCACCACCAGGGAAGCCCCTATTTGTTTTTAAAAGTACCTACTCGAAGGCACTTCTGCATGAAAATTTAAGGGAGATAGAGAATCACCCTAATGAAGCAGCATCCATTTCAGAAAAGAGGATCCTTAGAAGCTTATGTGAGAATGGGAAAAGGTACCTGAGGAAGGCAATAAAATGTCCAGAAACCCCAGGGCTGCAATATCTTTGAGTACAACTGCCAAAAGAATACAGTGCTATGCAAATATAAAAAATCAGTATTTAAGAAGACATTATTAAGGACATACAGAGAAATACCTTACTTTTTTAGAAGAGAGTTGCAAGACCAAGGAATCTTTGTTGGATAAAGCAAATATCTACTAGCAGCAAACAACAGCATAAATACAACAGACACACACAGTTGCACACAATCTAAATGGAAAACTTGCAACAGATTAAAACAGAGTTGAGGGCTTCCCTGGTGGCGCAGTGGTTGGGAGTCCGCCTGCCGATGCAGGGGACACAGGTTCGTGCCCCGGTCCGGGAGGATCCCACATGCCGCGGAGCGGCTGGGCCCGTGAGCCATGGCCGCTGAGCCTGCGTGTCCGGAGCCTGTGCTCCGCAACGGGAGAGGCCATAGCAGTGAGAGGCCCGCGTAATGCAGAAAGCAAACAAACAAACAAAAAATCACAGTTGACAGTCCTTCAAAAGTAGGCACTGGGGCATATTGTCAAGAAGCCATGATACTTTACACAAAGAAATAAGAGCTAAATGTGTATTGACTGCTTACAGTGTGCTGGGTTCCTATGTACTTTATATACATCCACTCTCTTAAGCTGCTCAACCAAATCTATTAAGGGGAGATCCTAGTCTTAGCACCATTTCCCAGATCAAGAAACTGAGGCTCAGAGAGATAAGTAACTTGCTCAAGGGGGTGGCCGAGCTGGGAATTGTACCCAACTTGGAATTTTGTGCTCCTAACCACAAAACCAGAGTTCTCAAACTTGAGTATGCATCAGAATCACCTGGAAGGCTTGTTAAGACAGATTCCTGGGTCCTTCCCTGAGAGTTTTTGATTTAGGAGCTCTGGGGCGGGCCCTGAGAATTGAAATTTCTAACAAGTTCTCAGGTGATGTTGATGTGACTGGTTCAGAGACGATACCACTACCTACACAACTGGCAGAAGACATAAGTAGGGAGAGAAAACTCCTCTAGATATATATCATGGGATACAAATTCTTTTATGGCCATGTGACGTTCATGTAAACTGTGCTCAGACACATCATCTCCTTGGGGCATTAAGACACCACCGTGGGGGCTTCCCTGGTGGCGCAGTGGTTGAGAGTCCGCCTGCCGATGCAGGGGATGCGGGTTCGTGCCCCAGTCCGGGAAGATCCCACATGCCGCGGAGCGGCTGGGCCCATGAGCCATGGCTGCTGAGCCTGCGCATCCGGAGCCTGTGCTCCGCAACGGGAGAGGCCACAACAGTGAGAGGCTAGAGTACCACAAAAAAAAAAAAAAAAAAATTATGAAAATGGGGCAGGTAAACAGGAGAGTTGCATGTCTCTGAAACCAGCCTTAGTAGGGAAAACCTGTGTGGATGCTAAGGTTGCTGAATGTATTTCTTGCTCTGGCTCTCTGATGAATTGATTTCTTAAGGCAGTGGTTTTCAAAGTGTGGCCTGCAGACAAGCAGCATCAGCATCACCTGGGAGCTTTTTAGAAGTGCAGATTCTCAGGCCCAGCCTAGACCTGCTGAATTGGAAACTCTGAGAGTGGGGTCCAGCAGTCTGTGCTTTAACCATCTCTCCAGGTGATGCTGATGCATTCTCAGAGAGCCACAGTCTTAAAGAATTGGCTGAAACATTACTGTGCCCCATGATATAGTAGAAAGGTGGTGAGATCTAGAGTTAGAGCCCTCCCTGTGCCTGCCACCTGCTATTTGTATGATCTCTATTTGCCAGTAGACTGATATGGGACTCTATTTCCTCATCTTCAAAATGGGTGTAATCCTGAGCTCCCCCAGTGGGCTCTTGTTTTTTGTTTTTTTTTAAACGTTATTATTTATTTATTTTTAAATATTTATTTTATTTATTTATATTTGGCTGCGTTGGGTCTTCGTTGCTGTGCGCACGCTTCCTCTAGTTGCAGCGAGCGGGGGCTCCTCTTCCTTGTGGTGCGCAGGCTTCTCACTGTGGTGGCTTCTCTTGTTGCGGAGCATGGGCTCTAGGTGTGTGGGCTTCAGTAGTTGTGGCACGTGGGCTAAGTAGTTGTGGCTCACGGGCTCTAGAGCGCAGGCTCAGTAGTTGTGGCGCATGGGCTTAGTTGCTCCGCGGCATGTGGGATCTTCCTGGACCAGGGCTCGAACCTGTGTCCCCTGCATTGGCAGGTGGATTCTTAACCACTGTGCCACCAGGGAAGCCCTGGGCTCTTGTTAAGGCTCAATATACGTTTAAAAAAAAAAAAAAAACCTCCATGATGGCAAAGGGTTTTCTTTTTCTTTTTTCTGTTTCGTTTTCCAGCTTTATTGACATATAACATTGCATATGCAAAGGTTTTTCTGAATGAAGTGTTTTGGGATCTGGAAAGAGCTAAATAGGAGTTTGTTATTGTCTTTCAGAACTCCAACTAAGAGTATTCATGTTATTTAATAATCACTTTGATATATTTACCTGTGCCAGCCGCTGTTCTTTGAAGTAGGCACTAGTATTAGGCTCCGTTTTACAGACTTACAGGAAACCGAGGCACAAAGAAGGAAAGCAACTTGCCCTAGGTTAAACATTTTGGTTGCAGAGTTGCAATTCAAACTCAGGCCATCTGACCCAAAGTTTGTGTGTTTAACCACTACGCTATCCTGTCTTCAGCATTCTTAACCTCTCTGCTACACTAGGTTGTGTACTGTGCTTGGTGGTTGTGTAGCTGTAGGTTAAACATAAAGGTGGAATCCACTTTTGGACTGGATATTGGACTGGATCATCCAGATGGCTTATAGGCATCATCTCTCTGAACAGCTTTGGACTGAGGCAGGTTCTTTTCGGTTCAGGAT